TATTTTTAATCGGAAAATAAATTCTATTTAATATATATATATATTGTTTTTTTTTAATTACGAATTTGGAGTTATTGACTTATCGTTAGGTTAATAATTGTTAAATATGGTATTACGAAATTTTACTTTTCGGTACGTACCAATTGTTTAATAGACACACCGGTCGCGATTCTTTCCTTGTTAGATCTTTCCTGCTCGTTACGATTCGCCTCGGACACGTAATTCCGTGTCTACATGCACAAAACCACAAAATTTAAGCAACAAATATATATATATATATATAATTAATTTCGTCGTACGCATATTGCACACAACTCATATCCAAATTTTTGTCCACTATTAAAATATTTTCTATAACAACGCGAGAGATTTATAATGTATTTTATCAAACGCATGCAAAAGAAACGAATCAAAGTAATAAAGAAAAAAAGACAGGCACACGCACACACATCAAACGAAATAATGTAAAATTTTAAACATTTCAATTTCTTTTTTTTTCTTCTCTTTTCTTATTCTTTTTGTTTAAATTAATTGAGCTCGCTGTTTAGAAACACATAAATGCAGTCTCTCTGCAATATGTAATTTGTATTAAATTATATTATTATTAGTATCACCTATATTAATTCCCAAAAAATTACTCTTTTAATTTACTAATTAATTATATATTAATATAGAAAATACATTGTGACACTTTGTATAGTACCGAATAATATTATAACACAACGTAACTCAAATTTATTAAATAAATATAATTATATACAGATATATAACTCACAATTATATAATTTTAAATTATATATTCTTTTTATAAACACAGTAAAAAAGAAAACAAAACAAAAATAATAACTTCAAAAAGAAACAAAATTGATTTATAAAGTACAATAATCATTAATACAAAATAATCTATTTGTGATCGATAGTTATCGTATTATTATTTATCAACCATACGGAGCTCAATTAACATTTGTTAGTAAATTAATATAAAAGACATTTTAAACATTCAAACGCATAACAAGCCAATTATGTCAATCGAAGATTAAACGAAGTTATCAAAGATTGATTTATAATGTATACCTAACGGTTCCCAATCGACACGTTTCCAGCTACATCTACGTCATTTATTATCGATCCAACTGCCAGAGAGAGAGAGAGAGAGAGAGAGAGAGAGAAAGAAAGAGAGAAAAAGAAAAAGAAAGAAAATAATAAAAAAAAAATAAATAAATAAAGGATAATTCCTTCTTCGATATGACTTACCAACGATTTAACGTTGACGTTGGATAGATCATCCTCGTCGGAGAAATCGATCGTCTCTTGATTGGTTGATCTCGAATCGGCAGTATACATGCTTGCGTCTTGCAAATCAGAGTTCTGATAGACAGAAAAAAAAAAGGGGAAGAAAAAAAAAAAAAGAACGAGAAAAAAAGGATAGCTCGCAGCGAAGACAGACACACACACACACATAGCACACAAACACACATATACGTTGTGACGAACAAACGAGACGGTTTTTTTAAACAAACAAATATTGTTTGCAAGAAACATGCGATAGAATTGTTTTTTGATTTCTTACGTTTACGATTAGGCCACCCCCTTGCTCCCCAACCCCACCCCCCATTTTGCTGTTGTTAGTTTTTCTGGTTTGGTTAATTTTATTATTAGAAAAATGATACGAAAAGTCTCCTCACCCCCCCAAGGGGGTTATAATACGTTTAATCGAGATAATGTAATTTATGTATTCTAATTACATTATCTTGATTATTAATATATTAATTATTTTAATATTAAATATCTTATTGTGTTAGTTATTCGAAGAAACAATTTTTGTTTATGATTTCTGATTTATAATTCAGTTTCTTAAGAGTAACCTATTACGTCAGTAGTTATAGGTATTTGTTAAAACATACAGAAACAATTTACGTATTATGTTAATTTAGTTTAACAATGAACAATTTGCGAAGCTTTGTTAAACATTTTTTTTACCTTTGTAAACCTAAGTACATTTATATAAGAAACTTCACAGAATTAAATTTTTGTGTTGAAATAGAATTTTGATTTTTGGTCAGTCACGCGTTATGACTTATTTCCAATATGAATTAAACGAATTATTCTTGGATATTGATTATTATTTATACACGTTATTCTCGCATTAACTTTTCTTCGTCATCATTTGAAAAAATTTGGTGTTCTTTTCCTTTCCTTTTTCTTTCTATTCTCTTCTTTGCACACTCCCTTCCCACCCTTCTTTCTTAATTATCTTTTTCGTATTTCTTTTAACCCTTTGAGTGATGAATACTTTGAACTAAAGTGTTTTCCAATGAATATTCAGAGATTTCAATAATAAATTATATATTTAATAATGAAAATTTGTCTTTCTTATAATATAATTTTAACTTAACAAGACTCAGAAAAAAAAAAGAAAAGAAAAAATATAATCGATAAACAAAAGCAAACGCGTTACATTATTATACATTAATTTTTGATAAACATGTAATATGCGGTTTATAGTAGTCAAAGGGTTAAATATAAGATTTTCGTTCGAAAGTGGGTGGGAAGGGGGAGAAAAAAAATAGAGAAAAATATATGTAGAACGAGTGAAAGAAAGAAAAAGAATAAAAGACGAAGTTATCATATACTTACCACAGAAATGTTTTCCTTTTCTAGATCGCTCTTCTTACTCTTCTTAGTTTTCTTAGTACGCGGAGTGAGATTTGGGCAAGCATCGTTACCGGCAACACCTTCGATTTTCTTCTTCTTCGTTTTATTAGTAGTAGTAGTACCGGTAGTAGTAGCAGCACCCTTAGATGAGCCGCTCATCACCGTTGTTGTCGTTGTCGTACTGCTCGTTGTTATCTTCTCCTCGCGACTTTCGCTCTAAGTAAATGATACAAATAATGTAAACGAAAAAAAACAAAAAAAAAACAAAACGAATGCGATTGGATTGTTATCAATGTTTTAGAAATACGATATTATAACGTTTGACGTGTCTTATTAAATAATTAAAAGTAGTGTTATGAATGTATATGACGATGATTGAATTTAAAAAAAAAAAAAAACAATAATATTACAGATCTCGTTCTGCCAATTAACTTCTTTCTTTCGTGTATCCTCTTAATAATCCTTTTTGCATTAAAAATGAATTTTTGTTCGTTTGCGTTATCTTCTTAGATTATATTATTTAATCTATCGTAAATGAATAAGAAATTCATTTTTAGTTTGATCGTTGGTTCCTTTTGATATCGTGATATCATATATTTAAAAAAAAACAAACAAAAATCCGATCACACAGTAAATAATATCATTTTACAATGAATAAATTTATAAATTTATATATATATACATATATAAACAATTCAGACACTGTTAATCGATATGATTTAATCTAACCAAATCAATAATACATTACATAAATGTATAGAGTAATCCACGATAATAAATATAAGAATTAAGAAAAAAAGAATTAAAATCACGATAAACACACATGGTTGGTTGACTTTCTATTATGAAAATTGAAAAAGTTGTTAACGCATCACATATGAGAGTTCATCGAACGAGTTGTCTCGTTATACAACGATATTTTAATAAAACTCATTCGCGTATAACACTTTGTATATGTGTATTTGTGTGTGTGTATATGTGTGTACGCACGCGAACCGCGCGATGAAAGACATAATGAGTAGAGTTCTAGACTACGTAACTTCAGGAACTCGATTCTACAATTACACACACCTCTTTCTCTCTTTCTATTCTCTTCCCTGGCAACGAAGAACCTTTCGAAACTTACTCCGGTCGATGTTTCCTGACCGCATGACAACGGTGTCGTAATTAATATACTTCTTATTCTTCTTATTCTTCTTATTCTTGCCCTAACCATTCACTTGGGGTGTATTTTTAACCGAAATAGAAACTTTAAGAGACCTCTTCTCTCTTAACCGTTGATAAATATAATTATTCGGTTCCGTAAACCACCCCCCACCCTTCTGTCTCTCTCTCTCTCTCCTTTTCCTATCACATTCCTACGAATAATATAAAAAAAATGATTAATAAGAGAGAGAGAGAGAGAGAGAGAGAGAGAGAGAGAGAGCTAAACGATGGATGTTAGGTCAAATATTGGATTCTGATTCGTCTTCCTTTGTCCTACTGACTTACTTTTCTACTCGGACACGAACACGATCGAGAAGAAATTTTAATACTACTATTAGTTTTACGTGACTAGAAAGTTTCGAAGGATTTGTTTTTGTTTGTTTGTTTTTCTTTTTTTTTTTTTGGATAATTATACGACATGATATAGATTTTTATTACGAATAAAATTAAATCGTTTTATTTATATTATTAATTTCTAATCGAAGTTGAATAAGTTTCTATTTATTATATTTTTTTTTTTAGAATAGGGTGGTATATGTATATTTTTGCTTATTGGATTTTTGTATCGATTTAATTATTGATATAATATCCATAGATAGTTTTTCTATTTTTATATACTAAGAAATTTAGATATTAGATATAAAAATTTTCAAACTATGCATTATTACAAATATTCACTGTATATATGATATATATATTTATGTCAAGTGATGAATCTTCGAAATATATATTTGAACAAAAACAAATTGAACAATTTTTTCAATCATCTTAACACTTTACAAATCGTTCGTTATTTAAACATACTATATGCACTTCCTATCGTTCACTCGGACACAAATTATAATAAATCGTTGACACCGGTTCTTACAGGAATAATATATGCACTTTTTCTGATAAATCAAATTTACTATATTATTCTATTTCTATTATTATTATTATAGAATAATTGAATGTAATAAAGTTATTTCGATAAAAATACAATTTAAATAGACTACCCCAGTCGTTGAAATGTTGAGAAAGTATTCGATAGAAAAACAATCAAGTTTATTTATCAAATTATACAGCACTGTTAAACTTTTAAGAATTTAATAAAGTTTGAAAAAAAAAAGGAGATTAATTAAGAGTTCAACGGCATTTCACGTTGCCAAAGCCAACGGAACGCACTTCCTATTTCACTTAAATAAAAATTTATAAAAGAGACGATGTGTTAAAGCCAACCCGTTGTTGGTCGTTTATAAATTCCGACCATAATGTACCCTACACTTATGTACCCTATTTATATATATTAATATATACATACCCTTTATTTTATCTCTCTCCATAATTCTCTATCTCTCTCCTACTCATCCTCCTCACACTAAACCATCTCTTAATAAATAAATTACTATAACATTACCCAACCCCCCCCCTTACATCATAATTCATAATACTTCGATAAGACCACAAAAAACGTATAACGATAAATAAAGAAATAAATTAAATAAATAAAAAAAAAAAACAAACGCGAACACACGAACAAACTTATTTCATTAAAACGAACACACTTTTCGCAACGCAACGAAAAAACGATACTTCCGATACTTTTATCGGAATAATCTCATCGTATAAACAATTATTTCTTTATTTTAATTTTTATAGAAAAAAAAAAAAAAAAAAAAAACTGATAAAAGAGCCAACCTTAAGAAGATGATAGGACGTTGAGAAGTCGCGAACTAATGTCGAGTTTTGAAGGAACACCATCACCACCATCGCCATTCGACAGCGAGTATGCGAAAGGACGAAGACGTTTCCTACCTTGACTGTAAACGAAAGGAAAGCTAAAGAGACTACTACAAGAGAGAGAGAAAGAGAGAGAGAGATAGTTAAAGAAGATGAGGAGGAGGGGTTGGGGTTTAAGGAAGGGGGAAGGGAAGGGGAACTTATAATCCTCTCTCTCTACCCCTACCCCCTTTCTTTATCTCTTACTTACTCTCGTATGTTCTTTCAAACGAAGGAACGGTTCACGTGTGTATATATATGTATATGTGTGTGTATATGTATGTATGTACTCGAAAGGGGAACCCTTCGAGTTCCTTCTCTTCGGTAACACTTCTAGCAGAACACTAGACTCGAGTAGATTCACCGAAACGTAACGTTTCTACTTAGTGATTACCCTAAACAAAAGAATATGCCAAAACTATATTGACTATCATTAAGAGAAGTATATACTATTATATATATGAAATTATTTTCATATGTTATAAAATCGTGATTTATAAAAGATAGGATAATTAATTTATCGATTAACGTTCAAAATTATTTCGATATTTATGTATATATATATTTTATATTATTTATATTTGAATATATAAAATATTGAAAGATTTTGGATCTAACTATTATTACTGAAATGAATGATTAGAATTATTTTGTTCAAAAATTCATTTAAAAGTATCACATTTGTTATTGATACTTATCGGGGTAATAATAAAAGTGAAGAAAAAAAAAAGGAAACGATTAGAGAAATATTAAAGAAAAAAAATGATATAAATAAACTATTAAGATTTTTGGAACGATAATAAGTATGTTACGTTGAGGGCGGGGGGAAGATGTGAAAAATGATCAATAATCTTTGGTGATCGAATTCTTTGCTTCTTGATATTATTTTTATCATAGTAATTCTTCTAAGAGTTATGTATTCTTTCATGCCGTTGAACCACCTTGAAAAATACCTCTCTTTCCTTCCGATGACTCGACTACTACTACCGGTCATGGTGACACGCGCTGATCATCATGTTACGCTACACGTCCTACACGACACACAATTCTTTTATAGTAGGTTTATACACGCCTCTCTAACTATCTCTCTCTCTTTCTTTCTACCTATATTACGTGTACGCGTGTGTGCGTGTGTATTTATACATATATATATACGACAAGAGAATGTACATAGGTTTTATCGCAAGTATATCCGATATTTTACTTCCTCTCACTTTATTTTTTTTTCTTTTTCTTTCTTTCTTTCGATCTTAAAGATGATAAATAAGTTTTATCCGTAAAGAATATTCACACCCGTTATAAATAATTTTAATCTATTGTAAATGTCGTGGCATGTGAAATAACGTGTGTGAACGATACTAAAAGTATGAATTTATTATTATTATCAGATTATATATATATATATGTGTATTTTATATTATGTATATTTTGTAGTTGTGTTGGTCATTTTTTGTTTTATGGGTTTTGAAAATATTCTTTTACGACCACCTTTTTAACATAACTTTCATCTGGAATTATTTTTTTTCTTTTTTTTAATGAGGCGAGACAAGTTGACTAATATTATTTATAATATATTTAATTCATATGTGAATTAATTGTTTAATCGTTTGAGTATTAAACGATACGATCGTACTTTTTCTATTCTTTTGTTTAATTGTAAAAGTATCTGTGCATTAAATTGATAATGAAAAGTAATTGCACGTTAGGTATATTTTTTTTGATAGTAAAAAAGAACATTAACAGATTTTTGCAAAGGATCGTGATACTCAAACGATTAATACAAAGAGATTGAGAAAATTAATTCTTATGACTCCAATTAATATTGTAATAATGTTAATTATATTGTTTTTTTTTTAAGATAAATATTTGAACAATATTTTGGCAATTTTATTTAATAAGAAACAAAAGTGTACTATTTTCTTAATATTCTATATACAAAAGCATAAGTAATATAATTTATTCTTGGAGTAATAAGAGTTAACAATAATAATCTCAAAATTATGTATAGTTGTTAACATTTTCATATTTTTTACATCGGGTTTTTCGCGCGATCGACCAATGTTAATATATTAATTTTCAATTTACTACTTATTTATTATATTATATAATTTCTTTACACAGAAAAATGTGAAGAATAATCTTCGTGATATAAATTAAATTATTTGTTTCAAAATAATATTTTTTGTTCCAATTAATCAAATAAATTTATTTCATCGTCAATAATTCAGGCAAAATAATTGTGTCATTTTAATTAAATAATACTAACGTGATAATTGTCATCTTACCTGTACATCGTCGAACAAAAATATACACGAGTAATGATCCCCTTAATAAACACGTGCATTACAAACGAACCTAATTTTAATAATCATTCAACAAATTCTTTCAATTCTACAATAAGCAAGAGCAATTATGCAACATTATCAATGGGAAAGAAAGACACGCGTAAAATTTGCGTGTTTTTGAGGTTAACGCTAATTAATATCTATACATATATATATAACTTTCTGAAATTAGGCGAATCTGTCAGGCATCATTACATTAATCCAACTACACACTCGAGCATAAATGAATAAAAGAAAGCATCTTATTATCATTGGTTCATTCCATGGCAAGCTTTTTATGCAAAATCTATTTTTTTGTTTCTTGCAATTAAAATAATAAAAATAGAAAAATCATGCCAAGTGTTATGATAAGAAAGCGTTATGAAAAATGATTTGTTCAAAATCTAATTTCAAGAATGATCAATAGTGGATGGGCTAATGATGATTACATATTTTTACAATTAGATAGTTTGAAAATGGCTTTAGTGAACCAAACTTAATGAACGTTTTGATATTACAAAATTTTTCATAGATTTTCAATTCTAAAAATAACAATTATCCATGTAATTTAATTACACAATAAGAGTAAAAGTGTATTCGAACAATTATTATCACGATGAAACTATTAGTAAATTGTAATTGTATAAACTTTTGTGTAAACTGTTAAAATTATTAATATTATTTCCAAAAAAAAAAAAAAAAAGAATATGGATCTTTTCGAACCATTTGCAAATGGTAAAAAAAAAAAGAAAAAAAATAAATACCCCATCGTCACTACTTATCGTAATATGAGTTATTAGTTAGAGAAACAACAAAAAAAACCAAACGAACACTTACATCGCACACGTTAATAATATCGCTCGTCTCGTCATCCGGAGTGGCTAGGGGTGCACGGGGAGAGGAATCAAGGTGATGATGATGATGATGATGATGATCGTCTTGAGTCGACCTATCGCTATCAGTTATGTTCGTTTCATTAGTATCCTCTCGTTTAATAATCGTATGTATCTCTTCGTGGTGTCTTTCCTTATCAGTTTTTTCTTCTTCCTCTTCGATTCTCGTGGCTTCCTCTACGGTCATCCACGAATCGAATTTATGGGTTTGATTATTATCAGATTGGGAAACGGTGTCCATTAATTCGACACGATTAGTTTCGGAAAAGATAGTTACGTTAGTTTCGGAAACAACTACTTCAGTTTTCTCAACCAAAATCGTAGATTCGGATTGTTGACATTGCACGTTATCGTTATCTAAAATTTCTAAATTTTCATTTTGAATATCATCCTCGTTGTTCATAACTACGGATTCTTCTTCAGTATCGCGATAAATCAAATTACTGTCATTTTTTATATTATCGGAATCCGTAATAAGTTTCGTATCATCGTGATTGTTACGTTCCGTGGATGATGATTCCTCGTTCAATACGCGTCTTTCCATGTCTATGAATTCTTGCGTACTCGCGGCATCGGTCGATGTTTCAGATTGGCTCAAGGTCACGTCGTCGAAGCTTCTAGATTGCGTACAAGAAACGTCTTGTGGACTTTCCTCGATTTTAATCAAACCATCGTTATTCATTGATTCTTCCATCGTCTCATTATTTTCCGTCATTTGATAATATTCCGTCGTCCGAATAATTTCCGAATTTGATTCTTTGTTCAACGACGATTCTTTATCGGATTTCTTGTCGATTGTTGTTTCATCGTCGTCGAAATTGTCGGAAAATTGTCCGCCAAATTGTTGAACGTCCGGTGTCAATTGTTCGGTCCAAGTATCGGAAATATCGATACTTTTCTTATTATCTTGACGTTGATTATCATCCCTTTCAGTTTCGATTAATTTTTCATTCGTTTCAAGTAAGAATTTCGTTGGAATTGATTCCTCTTCCTGTTGATGCTTGTCCTTACAAGATATAGGAGAGAACAATTTGTCTTCAACTTGACAACTTTCAATTTCAATCTCATCTGATCCCAATTTGACATCTTCGAAATTTCTGTTCGACTCGGTAACGGCTAATTGATCGTCATCAGGTTTGCCAGATTTCAAAAATAAATCATTCTCATCGTTTTCGATAATTCGTTCGTCAATCTTACCTCGATCAATCTCATCGATGCAAACATTTGTTTTTTGTACGACAGCAACATTATCTTCGATACCATCCTCAAATATTCTCTCCTCTAATTCATCTTTAGTTTCATTCAATTGATCTGGTTTAACATGGGTTTCCGGTGAAACGTGACCATTTTGATAACCATAAGGTTCTTCTATTAAAGCGCAATGTTCCAATTCGGCAACAATGAAATCAGTGTTAACACGAAATGGATCCTCCTGTCGATCAAGTACAATCCTTTTAACTGCATCAGGTTGATTAGATTCTTCCTCGATATTATCTTTTTCAACAACCTGAACATCATCATTCTCCTTCCCCTTTACCTCCTTCTCCTCTTGCTCCTCCTCCTCCTCCTCGTCTTCTAATACTTCTTCCTCATTGGGCGAACATATTCTCAACGCTAATTCGCTATCTATCAATTCTTGAAGACTTTTATCCTCGGTGTCTAACTCGTTACGCGTGTTGTTCGTCAAAACTAGATCGTCCTCGTCGTCGTTGTTGTCGCATAATGATATTAGTTGTTTGTTACTCGCGGTTAAATTATCCAATTCGATCAAACCGTTGTTAGATTGAACACCGCAAACCTCGTTCTTCTTGTTACTTACTACGCTTATTGACTTCTTTGTAGCCACCTCCGCCATTATTGCGCAAGTGTGTTCCACCCTCGCGCTAATTCACCTTCGCGACACCTGTAAAAATTACAAAATTATATAGTAAATATATATATATATATACATAAGAGTTATGTTTCAATATTATGATCTTTATTTTATTATATTTTTAATGGGATAATCATTTTGGGGTAAAAATTACCTTTACGAAATAAGAACAATTATTTTTATTAATAACGTTGCTGTTGTAATAATAATCATTTGGAAAATTGAACCAACCAAACAATGTAATATCTTTATCACAATACTTCGAATAAAATAAAAGTAATTGAAAAACAGAATGATATTGTGCCTACTTCCTAAACGAAACCACTAATCTTGGAGAGAAAATTTAAAAAAAAAAAAATATCATTGTAAGCTAACAAAAATAAAATAAAGTTTTCTCACATTGTTACATTCATTCAAATCTTTCGTGGTAAAGCAGCTACACTAACAGACCACGAAATAATTTTCTCGTAATTTGCAAGGAAAGGGAGATGATAAACGGAAGTACACGCTTTTCTAGAACTCGAGAGAGCGAACGAACGAAACCTGGGGGCCAGCGTTGTTGGCCGGCAAGCCAAATATCCTATTATTAGATATTCCCTGCGTCCGTGTCGTCGTTATGCCTTAACGACACAAGTACAGACATTTTCAAATTGAAATCTGAAACTCTTGGATAGGTGATATCCTCTCGTAGTCACACCGTACCCCACGGTTCACTATATATTTCTTATTATATTAGGTAATATATACTACAAATATACGTATATTAAATGCTAGATGTCTCAGAACAAATTGGAAATAATTTTAAAGGGTGGTTTTGGAACATGAGCAATAAAAAAAAAAACAAAAAAAATAAAGATCATATAAATATGTTCCATTCAAATCTCGTAAAAGCCACCCTTAAGAATATATTCTGCTTTAATGTATATATGTTACTGTGAAAGAAAGAAATTGGAGAATGTCAAGATTCACATGGTCGTTTGTCAACAAGTATCAATTGCATCGGTGAAAGATCGAATATTTGGGTACATTCTTATACGTTAATATTTCATAAATCTAGTCCAAGTGATCATGTGAATTATGACATTATCCAATTTTGTTTTTTCACAATATAATTACTATTTTTCCACGTTATATTCTTCATTGCTTAAACGTTATAGGTAATCATGAAATGCTTCATAATATCATCAATTGATGCACAATTATTACGTGGAATGCAATTTTTGTTATCATAAGCCATATAATTTCATAGTATTGGATAATATATAAATAAATTTTATGTTAAATCACAAATATACGATAATTGAATTTAACGAGTTTTTAATGTTAAACCATTATTGTTATTTTTCATAAGAAATTCCTATTCATACATAACATCTCGAATAAATTTTTCTAATCTTTTTTGAAAAAAAATCGAAAAATGAGAATGCAAGAGAAATAGAAGGAGAGAAAGAGAGAGAGAGAGGAGACTCTTTATAAATTCCAGCACAGCCCCAACGACGAGTGTAACACAGTTTTATAAACAGAAAGAGAGAGACCAACTCGATTCCAGCGTAAACTAATATACACGCAAACGTGCTTGCTCGCGCGCGCGCGCACACAGACAGAGTGGAGCAGGTTCAAAATTAGAAAGTGGTCCGAATGCGATGTAACTGCGCATGCGCCGAACCGAGTAGTTACCTAGTGCGCATGCGCATTTCGTTCTCCATCTTTTCTCTCTTTATCTCGGCATTATTCTTAAATAAAAACTATATCTACACACACACACACACACACACACACGTATATATAAATATATATTTTTTAAATTATATAGACCCCTTTATGTATATATAAGTAATATTTTAAAAACATAACATATATAGAGAAAAAAAAAAAAAGAAAGCAAATCTTTTTATCCAATAAAATATTTGATTTAATTTCATTCTATCGTCATCGTCATCCCCCCCCCCCTTCATCCATCTTTTTCATCCTATTTCAACATACACTTACTCTTTATTTCTCTTTCACTCAAGATGCACGCTATATATCTCTCTCTCTCTCACTCTTTACAGTAAGTTTCTTCAACGTTACTCCGAGGTCGTTCTTCGGGTTCACGACCGAGTCCGTGCCAAGTCTCTCTCTCTCTTTCTCTCTCTTACTGATTCTCACTCAACGCTTGATCAAATTTCTCTTTCTTTTTCTTGCTTTTCTTCATCAACTAACTCATTCTCCCTCTCTCTCTCTCTTTTACCCTTATTCTCTTCCCTTTTTCTTTTTCTTTTTATTCTTGTCTAATTTCTTTATCTTTTTTTGGTTATACGTTAGAGTCTCATTTTGTTTGCCTCTCTCTCTCTTTCTCTCTTTCTTCGGTTTCCTCTTCTCTCATTTTAGCTCTTTCAAATCTCCTGATCTATTTTTAGAATGACACACTACCGCGATTAAACGATGCGCGAGCATAGCACCACCATAGCATACTACTACTACTACTACTACTACTATTACTACTGTGTCGCCGGAAAAGATACTCTGACCAAAGGCGGCATCGTCGAACGAACTTAACCAACCAACGAATGAAAACGATAGTGTACACTTTTGTTTTCTCACCGTTGAATAGTTTACTACTACTTGCTTTACTACTAATACTGTCAGACGCCTATCTAACACACTACTTTCTATCTCTATCTCTATCCCCGTCTTTCTATTTTCCTTTTCTTTTTCTCTAACTTTATGTATTTTTTATGTTCAATCAAAAGTCACAATCACTTTTCTTAAATCTGATTTTTATCATTAAATTTATTTGTTGTTTTATGATATTATAATATATTAAAGTAATATACGTTTTTGTTTTTTCGAAATTGTATGCAATAGTTTGTTTATTATATATACGTATAAAATTTCTATCAAAAGTTTCATGTCAAATGACGTATGTATGTATACGTCATTCGGATTTTTGACATTAGTCCAGATGACGTGATAATACGTCACTTTAAGATTTTCATCTATCTCAAAATAATTGCATCCCTATCCAAAATATCACTTCATCCGAAAAATGTTTGAAAACTTTCTGTTAAAAATATTAAAAAATAATCATCCTGACGATCTCGAGGCACTTCCATTATACAACAAAGTTATCTAAAAGCAAATAAATAATTTATGGTTAGTAAGATCTGAAGTAAGTGCTTTCACTCGAATATTTCATCAGTTTCTGCTCTCGTGGTTATTCCCCCCCTATTCCCCGTTCAGAAATTCACCCTTATCTTTCCCCAGATGTTACGTCCTCCATGTTTTCACGTAAGTAAATAAATATTAAGTTTTGGATGTACAACACGAAGAAAAGGTTTTAGTACTTAAACTTTTGATCCCATGTTAAAATTTTTCGATCAATTTTCGAAAAAAAAAAAAAAACAAAGCACGATAATATATATTATCGAGAGAGAGAGAGAAATAAAAATTATAATTAATTTCATTAAAAATGATTATATCGCTCAATATATCACTTATCGTTAATCATCAATTACAATTTTATTTTACATTGAATATCTAATTAAAAATAAACGAGACTCTATATAAAATTTAATTTACATTTATAACGGTAAAGAAAGAAAAAGAACATAAATTAATTATGAACATGATCAAAACGAGACGCTTCGGGTTATAATAAAGAAGAAGAAGAAAACAAAAAAAACAATTTTTAATATCAAATCCAATTTGTAAAAGAATGCACCATACAAATAGTATTTGCTTCCATGCATTTGTACATCCGCCATGATATTGCAATTCTATGCATATATATATATATTCACACATAAGTGCGTGAGTCTTTTCGTGTGTAAGTTTATATATCTGAGTAGATTAAAAACACACGTAAACCGGATAAACGCATTCCTTGAATACCTGAACAGCGCGCTTAGCAACGTTTAGGCCGCAACGTTAAGCTATTTTCAAAGGTTTCTATTAATATTCGTGCGGCGTGCTTTCTGCCCAAAGATTCTTGGCAATTACGGAAAATCGTCGACCACTTACTACTATACTCCATTTTACCTACTCCCCCGCTAATCGATTCGAGAATTCATTTTACAATTCCAGTACCCAATCAAGAATTTACACATTCCTTTATCGGATATATATATATAAATACGAATTTAAATAAATATCAATATTATTTACATATTTATTCTATGTATTTAATTATGTAATATATGTAACGTAAGATTTGTTCGTATGTAACATTATTTACAAGTCAAAATAATTAAATATCATTTTTTCTAAATTTGTTAATATTTTAATGTCAAAGTTAAATATTAAGAAGAACCTTTTATTCGTTAATATTTTCATGATTTTTGTCCTTTAAATCATTAGATACGCGAATTCATGTTATATTTATATTTTACAATTTTTTTTTCATTAAAAAACAGAAATTAAAACTAATAACAAAACAATATATTTGAATAAACGTATTAAAAGTATTGAATACGAACTTATTACTTTTATCCACGTTAGAATAAATAAAAATGAAGGGGAAACGTTTCGAAAATGAATAAATGAAACATAAAAAAGATTACTTGAATATTATTCATCAAACTAATAATCTAACTTTATTTTTTTTTTTTTGATCGAAAAACCAGTTTTAATATATATTTCTTGGAGTATTAATTATTCGAAGCAACGATTGCGAAAATCAATGCTTTCATCATAGCAAAACGATTATGTTCCTGGAAGAAGTAATGATTCGGTTCTCTTTGTCCCTGTGTGTTCGTGTTTGTAACATAGGTTTATCGTTGATGCAAATTGAACTTGGCACCCTTTGTCTAGGAATTCTAATGAATAATGTATAAACTAAGCTTTTGATCGTCATCGATATCGTATCGATAACGTATTCGTTTTGCATATTATAATCAAAGAATTAAACTCATCAATCTGTCGAAATTGATGATGGAAGAAAAAAACAAAAAAAAAAAAAGAAGAAAACAACACAATTTTTAGTGTAACAAAGAAACGTGTACTCATTTTGTATTTTTAATGTATATATATATAATCGAAAGAATTGTTAA